GAAGAAATATGAGGAACAGGAGTTTAGCGTTACGCTATTATTCTGTCGATGCAAATGCTCTCTATTGGTGAAATTTGCAAGCACACGAAAGTTTCAATTTGTATCAGGAGAGCAGAATGTTTAAGGAGATTGCGAGCAAATGTCAGGAGCAGTATAGCGTTACGTTTATGTAGTTACAAAGTACACAAAAGGAATTGCGGTTTGTTCGCTTTGAATAAACGGCTAGCAAATGTCACTGAAATAAGGTTTTATGAATGGACTAACTGGTCTCTGCATTAATGTGTTTGGTTAACAAAGACACTGAACACAAGAAAAATTAATAAAAAAAAAACAAGTGTCAAGTGATAGATATATTCATAAACACAAATTTAAACGCAACAATATTTAATTCCAACCATTGATTGAATAGTAATATAAAACATCCAAAAACCCATCGATGTCTTCTTGGACAATGTAAAATATAGCTGGACGAGAACGGTTTGCTGATTGATGCGATCTGAAAAAGAAAAAAATGCGTTATTTTTTACTACTTTTAAACGTTTCAGGCAGCACGTAATAGTGCAATTTTTTTTTCAGTAATAGGTGAGTCTTCGGTAACCGCAACGCCAATTCAGAGTGGTGCATGACATTCATCATTAAAAATTGCGCAAAAACAAAATGAATAATTGTGAAACACACCTGCTGTGGGTTCCCGTTGAAAGAGGTGACAGTTCCGTACTTGTATCTTGCACAATCTAATAAATAATCCCAGTCAGTATCAGGAAGTACGCATTCCACATTGCGATGAACGCCCGTCTTGCACTGCTTTGATCGAATCCTCAAGCACTATGAAATGGCACTCCAACCAGACGTCTGGGATTGCTTTATTTTACCATGCAGGCGATACGAGTTTAGTCTCGCCCTCCTGACCAAGCTGCGCGTTTTCCCCAAGTTCTTAATCTTCCATTCTTCTAATTGTGGTCATCCTCGTATTTCCATCGGCATCAAGTTAGCGCCTGTAACAAGAAATTCCAATTACTCTCAGTTAAGCAATATTTGCACGTGATGAGAGTGTCATAATGAGGTCAGTTAGTGTGAGTCTTTTGTGACTTCAAATGAAATCAGAGTGGTGCATGACATTCATCATAATGAAGAGAAAGCTGCTGCGTGTAATGGAAAGAAAGTAGCGTAGCAACACGAAAAAAAGTAATACAACTAGCCTCACCTGCTTTGGTTTGCCAAAAAGGGCTTTTTGAAGAGCGGCCAAGTTGTTCAGTCCCATTTTCTTCTGGCTGGCTGGCTGGCTGGCTGGCTGGCTCAAGTTTCTTCCCCTTGGAGTTTTGGAGACTTGAAGAGTGGATAGTCCGGCGAGGTCAAATCTGCGCCCAAAATATGTCCCATTGCAGCTTCCTGGAGCCCGTTCACCTGCCTTGCGGTATTCTTCAAAGGAATTCTTCTCGTCGATGCTGTTTTCCGTCTGATCCATCCGGTAGTCTTCATTCAAGCTGCACATTCATCTGGTAGCCGTCGCCCAAACCATGTCTTCGAGTCTCCAGACCCGAGCGTGTCCACAGAACCATCCCGTTTCCATAAAGCATTGTTTTTTCTTTCTTCATCCGTCTGACTGAATATCTTCCATCCATCCGGTTGTTCCACTAGTCCCGTTCTGGTACTTCCCCATGTGTTGTCGAGGTCTTCGGAATTTTGCGCCCATTCCCACCTGGTGCCTGCGTGCTGTTGCATCTTCTGGCTGCTTCTTATTCACCCGCCTGGTCTTCGTTCTTCGCCGGTTCGCTTCACATTGTGATCTCGAAAGTCCTGCTGATTGATCTTCGTTGAAGTTCCCGACGCCGTAGTCACGCCATTAGATAACCCTGGGTTCCTAGTCGATTCGGAAAATTAAATTGATCTCTACATCGAGACCAAATCAATTCCAAAATCCACAAGATCCCCATTGATCTATTGACGGGTATTCCTTTGGCCCAGCAGCTTGGTGCCGAATTCAGCTTACTGAGGACTTGGTGGAAGGTCAGTTCCTGCCTGCAGACGGTCAGCAAGTTGCTTTGCGCCTAGCACTTGATCCCGATACCCGTTCTGCTGAACATCCCCTTACAGGCCAATGGGGTTCTTGTCGACTAACTGCCACAATCCACAAGATCCCCATTGAATCCGAACGACTCAAGACTGCTTCTTGAAGGTCTCTTCATTGTCGGGGAAATGTGATTCTTGGAAATCACTCGTTTAATGAATATTTCGCACAATTGGCTGAAACGAAACACTTTGCTGAAGCAGCTCGCCATCGCCACATTTTCCAGTGCTTAGATACCTGGCATTTTCGGACCAATTTTCCACTGCTTTTGACGGTACTAACGGACGTTGCAGAATTCCAGTTGTTGTTGGATATAATTGTTATAAAAGCTTGTACTCGGTTACCTTACATTACAGATCTTCTTCGGATTGTTTGCTCATATGAAATAAGTTTCGCAGATAAAAAGCACCTTGGTAAGTTCCGATCCACGATGTTTGCCCGCCTTTTGCGCCTGGAAAATCATTTATGTAGAGCGAAACTTCCACGCCTATTAGACTGGAGGCTTATTTCACATGACAGCGAATCCAGATCGTCGTGAACCCCGACAAAATCCTAAAACGCACACAATTGTGTCCGAGCGGATGCTGACATGGATGGCACTTTTGAAAAACGCATTGCGACCATGACGAGTTTGCTCTTCTTACTCACGCACGATTGGATACGGTTACTGTCCCAGATGAATGTTCAAAATAAAAGAAAAATCGAATCACTTGCTTCGGTTCGGACGTCCGCAATGGAATAATTTCTGGAAAAAAGTCATTGTCGAAAAAAGCATTGTCCTTACTGGTTTTTTTGTCGACTCTCTTCACAACAAGTCGCTGATGAATAAACGAGTTTTCTCTCTCTTTGCTGTTAGATTTCAAAGAGCGTATTTCTAAAAACGAGAGCAGTGTCGGGGGCA